GCACACGCACGCACGCACGCACGCACGCGCGCACGCATGCACGCACGCACCCGCACGCGCTCGCGCGCACGCAAGCACGCGCGCACGCGCGCACGCACGCCCGCGCGCGCCCGCGCGCGCACGCGCTAACGCGCGCGCACACGCACTTGCGCGCGCACGCATGCGCGCGCGCGCACCCACATCCACGCGCGCCTGCGCGCGCGCGCACGAGCGAGCGCGCGCGCGCGAATGCTTACGCTTGCGCGCGCTTGCGCACGCGCACATGCGCGCGCGCACGCACGCGCGCGCACTTACATGCGCAAACGCGCGCGCTAACGCACGCGCGCGCCCGCGCGCACGCGCGCGCGCGGCCGCGCCCTCGCCCCGACCTGCGCTCGCGCGCGCGCGCGCGCCCGCGCCCGCGCATGCGCACGCGCGCGCGCGCGTGTGCTCACATGCGCGCGCGCGCACGCACGCGCACGCGAACGCACAGACACACACCAACCCCCACACACAAACGCACGCACACACACACACACGCGCACGCACACACGCAATCGCACCCGAACGCGCACGCGCGCGCGCGCACGCGCGAGAGCACGCGCACACGCGCGCCCACGCGCACACGCACACGCACACGCACATACGCACACACGCGCACGGCCATAAGCACGCGCGCGCACACGCACGCGCGCGCGCACGCGCACGAGCACGCGCACACGCACACGCACAAACGCACTCACGCACGGACACGCGCGCACGCACGCGCACACGCACGCATGGAAGCACGCACCCACACGCTGTCGCACCCACGCCCGACCCCGCGCCCACACCCATGCGCGCGCGCACGCGCGCTTATGCATATACTTACGCGCGCGCACGCGCGCACACACGCACTCGCGCGCGCGCACACGCGCACGCGCACGCGCGCGCACACGCGCACGCACACACGCACGCACGCACACGCGCGCACGCGCACGCACGCGCGCACGCACACACGCAAGCCCGCGCACACGAACACACGCACATGCGCACACGCGCACGCACGCACACAACTCACACCCGCGCGCACACACGCGCACACGCGCACGCGCACGCACGCGCACGCGCACGCGCACGCGCGCACGCGCGCGCGCGCGCACCCGCGCACCCACGCACGCACGCGCACACGCGCACGCACGCACGCGCACACATACGCACTGCAATATCCTGTGGCTGCGGCATCTCCGCGTGGTCTCACGAGGGGCACTCGTCCGCGTTGGTGGCTCGTTCTTTCGCTCGCTCGCTCGCTCCTCCCCCTCCAGATTCCGGATTCCTGGTAGCCTGAAAGATCGTCGATCGCAGCCCTCCCCCAGGGGCTGGTCGACCCTGGGGGATTGGCCTTGCTGTGCCCACTTGGCCCCTGGAGCGCAGCCCCGCGGGGCGCCGGCGGAACGTGCGAGAAGTGTAATCGGGGGTCCGACAGACGTGCGAGGGGGGGGGGGGCGCGGGGGAGGCCTTCTCATGATGGCGAAGAGGGGGGGGGTGGAGGTGCGGCTGGCGCCGCGCGCAGCGGCGGCGCGGCGCGCGCGTCCCCTGTCTGCCACTTCGACCCACCCCCCCGCCGTGAGCGGGCGGCGTGACCAAGCAGCGCTGGCGTCGGTGAAGGCGGTGGCTGGCTGGCCATCTGTCCGCCGTGCGCAGAGGGTGAAATCGGCCCGTGCTCGGTCGGGCCTGCTGGCGGCCGCGCGCTCGCCCCGCCCCGAGGTCTGGCGGTTCGCCCCAGTGACCTCCGCCCCGCCTCGACCCAGTGCGAGCGCGCCAGAGAGAACGCAATTGCGGGTTCGCTGGTGATTTCTGTCGCAATCTTATCGGGTTTAGCACCGAACCTCCCATGGCGACGGGTGCGGTTGAAGCGGGTGGCGCGGTCTAGGTGGCGTGGCGTGCCGACAATGAACGGCCGTCGCTCTGGCGGCGAAGGATGCCGGCTCTTCGACTGGCCGCGCGGTCGCGGCGGCAGAGGCGCGCGGCAAGGCAAGGTGAGGGCAGGGCAAAGTACGGGCGAAGAGTGACGCGTGATGGGTGGCGAGCGCAGCGGCGATGGCGGGCCGTGGGGCGCCCCGCCCGCGCGCGCCGGGGTAGGGGGCGCGAGGGCCTCTCGATCTTCTCATCGGAATGCCCCGCAGGCGCCCCCGAGGCCAACGGCGGGGCCCCTCTCCTGCATGCAGGCACAGGGCCCCCAGCGCGTTGGCGTCGGGGCTGCCTGGGGTGATTCCACCGAGCGCGATGGGGGTTTGCGCTTTCCCGGCGGTGGCAGGGCGCCGCGCTCGCGCGGGGCTGGTGGCCCGCCGCTCTCGCCAAATCGGAAGGCGTCGGGGCCTCTCTCCCCGCGTGAAGGAAATCCCTCGTAGCGCCCCTCACCCCTGCGACTGGTGCCATCCCCTGACAAGCAGGAGTAGGGCACCCGGATTGTGGAGGTGGGGGCCGCTTGGGGGATTGCTGCCGTGCGTGGGGGGGTTTATGCCTTCCGTGGCGGTGGCGCGGCTTTCTTGGTGCGTGCCCGTCGCCCCTGTAATGGCCGCTGCGCCCCCCCCGTCGAAGTTGCTGGGCAGGCGATCCGAGATCGCAGCTGCTGCAGTTGTACGGCGTGAGCTGTGCAAGTGGGTTGCGGGCAAGGAGCCGCGCTTGTGCGTCGGCGACTTTTCGCGCGTGGCTTGCCGTGCAGCGGCCCGCCCTGCCGCGGGCGGGCAGCGGTGGAGTTGGGCGTGGACATGAAGCGGGGGAATGTGAGCGCTGCGGCGCTGCGACAGTGAAAGGGGGGCTGCGCTGGCTGCGCTCCGCAGCAGCCGTGACCACGGCCGCGGCCGCCGTTGGCATCCGTGTTCATGCCCCCGCCGCCGCGCCGACCCGGGGCCGCCGCCGCGAGAGGAAGGGCCGCGGGAGGTCAGCGCGGGAAAGTGTGGGGGGGGGGCTGCAAGAAGAAGAGCCAGGAGGGAGTGGAGGTTGGAGGTCGGTGAAGCCCTTCGCGCTGCGGCGTCTATGGGTGGGGGGCCCGCCCGGGGGCCCGCTGCCGATCCCTGTGGGTGAGAAGGCCCTTTTGGGCCCCGTGGCGTAGCGTGGCGGTCGTCCATGTCCTCTCCGCATGCAGTGCTGCGTGGCTAGTCGTCCGCGTGAGGTGCTGCCGTTGAAGGAGATGTGGGCGGGGGCCTCCTGGCGCCGGCTTTGCTGCTGCTGGTGGGCGTCGGTGCGTGCGCGAACTCTGGTGGGGGTTAGCGCCGAGATGCAGAGTTTGAACTGAGCAGCTGGTGCAGTCCCCTGTGTGTCATGGAGCAAAACAAATCAAAACTGGAGCGCGGGGATGGCGAGAGACTGATGGGCCGCCGCTCGGCCGGCCCCGCCCTGAGGCATAGGTCTGGCGGTAGTTGGCGATCAGGGGGTGGGGCTCCCTGATTCGCCGTGATGTTGTCTTCGAGCTGGTATGCCGCGTCATAAGCTGGCCATGGCTGCCATCCTTGGTCGGCCCTGGTCGCGGTGGGTGTCTCGGAGATGTGGGGCTGCGGATCCTGCAGGTCTGCGGGGTTGCCCCCCCCCGCGGGTTGGCGGTCGGCATTGCCGCGCTTCCAGGTTGGTTGGGGGGCGGGGGTCGCGGGCAGGCGTGGCTGCGTCGTGGTCGGTGATCGTCGCGAGGCTGGCGCCCGCTGGTGGTCGTTATGCGTCGAGGCCAGCTGCGCGTGAGATTTTGGGTTGTGGTCCTGCTGCGGGTCGGCCCCCGGTTCGGCGGTTGGCTGGGCGCGCGGGTCTGCGCGCCGTTCGCGCCATGGTGCAGATTTAGCGAAGGGTTTCTCCGAGCGGTTGGGCCTGGCGATGGTGTTGCTGAGTCTCATCTCCTGGTCTTGCAATGCTAGTACTTTTGATGGCGGGTCGTGGTGGTGTGGCTCGGTGTGTGAGCTGGAGCTCGTGCTTGCGTTGGGATGCTTGCAAGTGGTGGCGTCTTGTGGTTGCCCTGCTGCGCCCTGTGATTGGGTCGCGTGCTCCGAGGTGGCGGCGTGCAGATCAGGGTCCTGGGCGTTGATCAGCGCGGTGGTCTTGGCTGCGGCGGCGGTCTCTCTCCCGCCAAGGGCACAGGTTGGGGGGTCGGATTGTAGCGTGTGCCCAGCTTAGGTGTGCATGAGTAAGCTGCGGCGTTGATGGGCCCCCGCAGCCGGCGTGAGTGTGTTCTCGCGACCGTTGGCGGTCTGGCATGTTGGTGTCGTGTCGAGCTGGCGGTTGACGAAGTGGGCTAGCACACTCTACTTGTGGCTCATCCCGAACAAGCGCGCTTCCCGTTGCCCGTCGTGCCTGAGGATATAGTTCAGCGGTGCTTCGACGTAACTCAAATTTTTTCGCACTCGTACTGCGCGTCGCGGTGGGCGCCCTCCTCGAGTTCGTAGTTGTAGCTGGTGTCGTTCATGCGGTCGAAGTATCCAGATATTATATTATGCGCGTGGATATCGAAGAGAGGGGTGTTGCGGTCGAAAAGGGATGCTGTTGATGTTGCCGGTCAAGCGTGCGGTCGTGCCTTGGTGTGGTCAGGTCCCGAAGCCATGCCATTTCGTGGCTGTTCGATCGGCGGCCTCGCTTGCTCACGCGAGGTGTCCATGTGAGGTCTTCGAAGTTCCTTGACTTTGAAGATGGGCGCCATGTGGTGTGAGGCCGTCGGGTGACCGCCTCTGCCGTTATGTCCTCGGCTAGCTGATGCTCAGAGGTGGTGTCTTCGGTGGCAGCCTGGATGGGGCGTCCTGTTATGGTGGGCGCGGCGCTGTGGCGCTGCTTGAGGCCCCGTCTTCGCCGGCCGTCGTGCCCCGCTGTTTCGGCGCGCTGGTTGGCGCGCGGGTAATTGGTGGTGCCTCTGGCGTGGCCCATATGTGGCTGTAGGTGCCGTTTCGCTGGCCGTCGACATTTTTGTTGCCGGGATCGGCGTCGCCGTTGGTGCTGCAGCGTGGCGGTCGTTAGGCTGGCGGGTCACTCGCGGCGCTAGGGCCGCCTGGAGCTCCGCGACGATCCTCGGGGCCCCGCTCCTTGGCCACGAAGTTGCCGGCCTGGTTGGACAGTGGCAAGTTCGCGAGGTGGCCGCTGGGTCTGTCGGATCGCGCAGATTCGGCCATTTTGTTGTCGTTCAGGTCGGCTATGTCTTGATTGAGGATGCTAGCCTTATGCTCGAACGCGTCGTCGGTGTAGCGCCTCGTGATGGTTTCGTCAAGGGCGGGCGCGCCGACGTAGTGCTGCCTTGCCTGTGGTGGCGGCGGGCGTGCTCTCCGCAGGGGCTGGCGGTGGTGGTGGCTGTCCTTGGTCGCCCGGCGCCATAGGTGGGCGCCTCGCGAGGTTGCCGTCGGCGTCGTAGAAGCACTCCGCGTTGTCGGAATACAAAGCTTTCTTCCAGCCTGGGCGTCGCAGCGCATTGCCCGGGTCGTGCCATGGGGATTTCCTGGCGTCGAGGTTGCCGTCGCATACCTGAGCGCGCCACTTGGCAGGCGCGCCGTCGACGGGGCATGCGACCCACGGCTTCGGCAAGGCTGGCCGATGCCAGGGTGCGGGGGTAATCTATGGGGGAGGCCGGCGTTTTGGAGGTCCTGTGCAGGCGTATGCGCGTCCCAGGTCATGTAGTTCGGTGGGTAGAACTGCCGAAATTGGCAGTTTGGTGGTGACGGCTCGCTGTGGGCGTCTGCCCAATGCGTCGAATGGTCAGTGATAACTCGATTGGTCGTCTTCGGGTGCCTTGCTGTAGTTTGCTGCGGTCTTGTTCGTCTGCCCTCGCAATCTGGGCGTCGTGCATGTAAGAGGTGATCTTGCTGGTCGGCGTGCGTTCTGCGAAGCCCATCAGCTCGCTCTCTGCGTTGTAGGCGTCGTTGATGCCGTTGTAGAAATCGTTCCATGTCTGGGTTAGCAGCTTCCTTGCTTCCGTGCGTGTTTCAGGCGTGATCTGTAACATGGGGTCGTGGGCGTCGGCTACAAGTGTCTTCAGCAGCCGTAGACCTGGATCCTTGTGGGCTCCTCCCAGCTGGCAAGCTCGGGAGGTGGTAGTCGTGTGATTACGTTTGCCGCTTCATTCGGCGATCGGTCCGTGGTTGTGTGGTGGCCCTGGACATGGTCCCCGTATGTCACGGCCGCTGGTAGGTGGCAGTTGGTTCCTGAAATGGTGGGCCAATTTGGCATTGCATGGTGGTCCCAATTGGAAATCGCACCGCCTGGCCACCTCGTCGAAGTGATTGATGGGGGCCCTATGCTCGGTCTTGTAACCCCTGACAATCTTCCTTAGTGACCTCGATCAAGGGTGCCAGATCTCCGTTCTGGTCTCCTTCTGCGGCGTAGAGGCCCGCGCGAGTCTGTGGTGTCATATGCAAGCTGTGAATGTCGAAGTCCAAGTTGTCACTGTGAGGATGTACGGCCTTTGCGCCCATGGTTGTCAGGGTGTCCGTCAGGTAACGGAGGAAGGGTCGTGCTCCGCTTGGTTCTTGCGCGGTGTTGTTCTCGTCGGTCACGTGGAGCAAGTCGGAAATGTTGCGGGTCTTACAGTGAATGGCCTTGCGTTCCGCGCCCTGTAGGTCAGTTCGCTGGAATACCTGAACAGTCAGCCGTGTGGATCTGGTCGACGTTGGGCATCTCGTGGGGCCAGTCAGGGGCGGGACGAAATATATCATGTTTGCCGACGCAAGCTCCTTGCCCCGCGCCCGCGGTAGAGCGGCGATCAGGGCTCGGCGGTATGTGTCGTCATCGTTGCCGTCGTCCCTGCTTCTGGCCCTGCTGCCTTTCTGTAGTAAAATGTGTGGCTCAGTCGTGCCTTGTACTGGCGGCCCATGTTGTGTATGCCAATGTCCGTATGGTTCCTAGTGAAGAAGCCACGCATCGCGTCGTCAGCTTTCTCTGAAGCGTTCCTCTTCCACATGGTGGTGGTCGTTCCAAAACAGGCGAGGGTGTAGTGGTGGTGGTATAGTTTCTTTATCCATTATGTTGGTGTGCTGTTTGGGATGGAGACCTGACATCGTTCAACCTAGAACGATCGCGGTTTCCGATGCAGTCGGACCCAGAATAACATCCTTCAAGAAATGAAGCCCTCCGCCCGCCAACATAAAGAGCATCCGAAGGTACCTTCCCCCAGAACGTACAAGAACATCCAACAAGCACGAAAAACAGGAGGTACCGTTTTTGAAATGATCTTGAACTGAAGTCTCTGTCCGACTGTAACGCAAATCGTTCGAAATGGGCCTGTTCGGGGCCACAGGCGGCGTTTAACCCTGAACGCGGGGGCCCCTTCAGATCTGATGTCGCCAAACTTTGCAACATCGCAGCAAAATACCACCGCAGCACTGGACCCCATGTCTGTAAACCATTTTTCGAAGCGGGTCGATCTGTCAGGGCCCTGGGGGCCTGAAGCTGGGCGAAAACGTCCGTTGTGAACAACAATGCAGCGCCAGGATCTCAAGGGTTGGAGCCCGAGGCGGCCTCGGCGCCGCCCAGTTGGGACCTCGCGTGCGGCAGCACTTCCTTCAACTCCTGGACGAGGTTGCCCACCTGTCTCGCGAGTAGTTCATCGCCAGCGGGCGGCCTTGATGCCTCCTCGCCGGCGCTCACCGACGGGGTGGCGTGAGCGGGGGAAGGGAGGCTTCTTAGGAACCGAACCTCCAACGTGTTCCAACACAAGAGAAGAAACGCCATAAACACATTTTCGGGGGTCCGCGCGGATTTTTCGTATCGGCGCTAGGAGCGGGGCCAGGGGGGCCCAGCCCCGATCTAAGAAACCCGCGCGGAACTCAGAGAAATTATGTTTACGCCGTTTCTTGATCCTCCATAAAAAATCACGACGATCGTTTTTCGCAATTTTCCGCGTCTTGGGGCCCTCGCTGGGCCCATGAAAAAAGGCTCAGCACGAAAAGCCCGTCCCCTGGAAGGGGTCCGGACCTCTGGGGGTCCACGCCGTGGATCAATCACGACGTTGGGTTCTTCGTTGGAAGGCCATGGGGTCTTCTAAGAAGCCTGCCCCTGCACCTCAGATTTCTGAAACGCTGGCTGGGGCTCAGAATTCGAAGGATGTCTGCAGCCAGGTGAACCCCAGCGGGGGGGGGTATCCGATATCCCAGCGACGACTGTACCCGCAAGGGTAGGCTTCGCAAGTGGTCGCAGATTAGAAGCCTGCTTAGAAGCATCCACAGGCCCTTCCACGAAACCGATCGGCAGCGCCCGCATGCGTCCCCAAGCCCAGTTTGGCCCCCCCGACCTCCACACGTGTCGTGGCCCCACAGGGAGCTCCACCCAAGGCCCCAGTGGCAGCGCCCGCATGCGCTCCTCGCCCACATTGGGACACCTGTCGTACGCCTCGTGGCCCCATAGGGAGACCCCTCGCTCGGGGACGCACTGACCCAGGTCAATGCAAAGCCGGGTCAGTGCTGCCTTGCAGGATCCTGCGCGTTCCTGCTGGATGCTGCACGCAAGCCCAGATCAATGCACCCCTGGCCCTGCAAGATCCTGCAAGATCGGGCGCTCTGGCTGACCCCCGTTTGCATTGACCCTCGTTTCTTGAGCCCCGCCTCGCCTCGCCAGAGTCTCCTTCGGCTTTTCCAAATGGCCGACCCCCAACACACCTCGGTGGTTCAAAGATGGGGTCTCAAGCAATGTAAATCCACTCTTGGAGCCCTTCCTATCCCTCAGGATCTCATCTTTGAACCACCGAGCGCCGCGCACCGCCCCCCCTTGGTGCGCGCCGCTTGCCTCCGCCGCGGCCTGCACCTCGTGCAGCAGCTGGTCGATCGACGCGACCCTCCCCTGCATCCCGTCCAGCGTGCCAGCCATGTCGGACACCTGGTTGTGGTACAGTGAACCCGTATAACAAGGACGCGCGATAAGGATGCAAGAGCCTTGGAAGGCCATGTCGACACTTTGCGAGCGGGGCGCGGCCAGCGAAAGCGGCCAAGGATGGGCTGAAGGGGAAGGATGCAAGGGTCACCTGGGAAAGTTGCTCATCCTTACTAAGCGGGTTGACAGTAAAGCTTCGGGCTGCACGCAGACCCCGCCCCGGAAGTCCCCGCTGGCCTCGACAGTCCCAACGAGTGGTCCAAAGCGGTCTCCACACCCTGGCGCCGCCAGGGTTCCTTGAGATCCGATGTTGGAAACATTGCTGCGTCGCAGTAAACTCACCACCGGAGCCCCGGACCCAATCTTTCTGTGGCACTTTTCGAGCCAGATCGATCTGTGATGGCCCCGCGGCCCGAAACTGGGCGCGACAACGCCTGGCGTGAGAAAGTTGCAGCGCCCAGATCTCAGGTTTGGGGTGTTGAGACCGCCCTGGGCTGCTCGGGGCTGTTGAGGGCCGCTGGGACTACCTGGGGGGGCTGTTGGAAGCACCTGAGCAGCCCAGCGCACCTGCGACGTCGGCGTGGAGAAAATCGGGCTCCACAACCAGTGCGAGGCGGGGATAAATCCATGTCCACCGCCTGGGAACTGATGTCCTCGTGCCCCAGCGGGCAGTGGATATGTATACTCAAACATCCAAACATACATACACACATACATTCCTCTTCTTAAATTGTTACAAGCCCGGGCGGGGGGACCCCCCCCCCCCCCCCAAAACAGGACTCCCGGGATCTGGGGCTTTGGGAACCTCCAGACGGGTCTCGAAGCGGCCCCCGGGCCTCGCAGGGCGTTTTGCCCAGCCTTCCCAGCACACCTAGGGCGATCAGGGGGGTCATCGGAGACGTCCCAGAGACCCCCAAGACAGCACAAGAGCGCTCCAAGAGTGACCGACGTGACCTCAAGATGGCCCAAGAGGCCTCCAGGACGGCCCCAAAGAGGGCTCCAAGAGCACTCCCAAGAAGGCCCCCCAAGGCAAAACATATCCCGGCAAAGCAACCTAACAGCGATGTGTATAAGCATATCTGGAAGCATTCCCCTTGAGATTCAGGTGAGAATCCAGTTGTAGAATTCTGGGGTTCTCGCAGTCGCAGTCGCAGTCGCATTCGCAATGACAGTCGCAGTGGCAACGGCCTTAGGATCCAATGGAATCCTAAGGATTCCTAGGGATTCCTAAGGCATCCTTAGGCGCCCTTAGGAAGCCATAGGAATCCTTAGGAAACCTTAGGAATCCTTGGGAATCCTGATTCCTAGGGATTCCTAGGGATTCCTAAGGATTCCTAGGGAATCCTAAGGATTCCGAAGGATTCGCCTGCCTCGGCCTCAGCCTCAGCCTGCCTCAGCCTCAGCCTGCCTCAGCCTCAGCCTCAGCCTGCCTCAGCCTCAGCCTGCATCAGCCTCAGCCTCAGCCTGCCTCAGCCGCAGCTTGCCTCAGCCTCAGCCGCAGCCTCAGCCTTAGCCTGCCTCAGCTTCAGCCTCAGCCTCAGCCTGCCTCGGCTTGCCTCAGCCTCGGCCTCAGCCTGCCTCGGCCTCAGCCTCAGCCTCAGTCTGCCTCAGCCTCAGCGTCAGTCTCTCAACCTGCATCAGCCTCAGCCTCAGCCTCAGCCTGCCTCAGCCTCAGCCTCAGGCTGCCTCAGCCTCAACCTGCCTCAGCCTCAGCCTCAGCCTGCCTCAGCCGCAGCTTGCCTCAGCCTCAGCCTCAGCCTGCCTCAGCTTCAGCCTCAGCCTCAGCCTGCCTCGGCTTGCCTCAGCCTCAGCCTCAGCCTGCCTCGGCCTCAGCCTCAGCCTCAGCCTGCCTCAGCCTCAGCCTCAGTCTCAGCCTCAGCCTCAGCCTGCCTCAGCCTCCTGAGCCTGCCTCGGCCTCAGCCTCAGCCTGCCTCAGCCTCAGCCTGCCTCAGCCTCAGCCTGTCTCAGCCTCAGCCTGCCTCAGCGTCAGCCTCAGCCTCAGCCTCAGCCTGCCTCGGCTTGCCTCGGCCTCAGCCTGCAACAGCCTCAGCCTTAGCCTCAGCCTGCCTCAGCCTCAGCCTCACCCTGCCTCAGCCTCAGCCTGCATCAGCCTCAGCCTCAGCCTGCCTCAGCCGCAGCTTGCCTCAGCCTCAGCCTCGGCCTCAGCCTGCCTCAGACTCAGCCTCAGCCTGCCTCGGCTTGCCTCAGCCTTAGCCTCAGCCTGCCTCGGCCTCAGCCTCAGCCTCAGCCTGCCTCAGCATCAGCCTCAGCCTCTCAGCCTCAGCCTGCATCAGCCTCAGCCTCAGCCTCAGCCTGCCTCAGCCAATGGTGTTCCGGAACACGAAAAACACGAAGTGGCCTACAGTTGGCCCCAGGCATTCCAAATGTGGCCTGTGAATTGTGTTCTGAGAACACGAAGAACACGAAGTGGCCTACAGTTGGCTCCGGGCATTCAAAATGTGGCCTGGGAAAGGTGTTCTGGGAACGCGAAGAACACGAAGTGGCCTACAGTTGGCTCCGGGCATTCAAAATGTGGCCTGGGAATGGTGTTCTGTGAACACGAAGAACACGAAGTGGCCTGCAGTTGGCTCCGGGCATTCAAAATGTGGCCTGGGAATGGTGTTCTGGGATTGGATTCTTAAGGATTCTTAAGAATTTCTAAAGATTCCTAAAGATTCCTGGGGCTGCCGGATCTGTCCGGATCCCCTGTCCGGATCCCGCCCAGATCCCCCTGGGGCGTCAAGATGTGCTCTCTTTTGACCCCACTAGAAACCTATCAGTCTTCGCTGTTAGGTAATTATTGATTTTCTGTTGGCTTTTGGTGAACTCTGCTGTTCTCCTCTATTCGGCTTCCCGATTCCCGACGCTCCAAGACGGCGGTCTTCTGGGCGTTCGAAGCCGCCTGGGGGGCTCCAAAATCGCACCGCAACCATCCGAAAGGGCTTCCAGGCAGTCCAAGAGAGCCCCAAAACAGCACAACACGGGTCCAAGATGGCCCTCAGAGAGCCCCATGGCGGCCCAAGATGGCCCAAAGACACCCTCCGAAGCATTCCGAATCGTGTCCCGGTCGTTCACGGAGACCGCGGTTGGAGGCAGGGTGGCCCGAGGAAGCCCCCAGAGGCCCCCAGAGTACGCCCAGGAGGCCTCCATAGGGCCTTAAGAAAGCCTGAACAACTTTTGTGAGGCCCCCAGAGGCTCTCCAAGGAGGAGCCTCCGCAAAAAAGAGCAGAGGAGGATGGGGAGTGTGCGCAGGGTATGGCGAAAATAAGGAAACAGAAGCATGGAGAAAAGATAACGATACAATTATTATAGCGGCGATGCCGGAAAAGGCAACAAAGAGTTATCGCTAAATTGTCGGCTTGACCTTCCTGCTATTTCGCCGGCGTGCCAAACTTCAAGGACCAAGGTGCATGGCGCGAAGCGCCACTGCAGACTTGTATACATATATATATATATACACATACAAAACTACAGTGGCGCTTCGCGCCATGAACCTTGGTCCTTGAAGCTTGGTATGCAGGCGGAGTAGCAGGAAGGTCAAGCCGACAATTTAACGATAACTCCTTGTTGCCTTTTCTGGCATCGCCACTATAATAATGTTAGTCGTTATCCTTTCTCCATGCTTCTGTTTCCTTATTTTCGCCATACCCTGCGCACACTCCCCATCCTCCTCAGCTCTTTTTTGCGGAGGCTCCTCCTTGGAGAGCCTCTGGGGGCCTCACACAAGTTGTTTCAGGCTTTCTTGAGGCCTTATGGAAGCCTCCTGGGCGTATTCTGGGGGCCTCCGGGGGCTTCCTTGGGCCACCCTGCCTCCAACCGCGGTCTCCCTGAACGACCGGATCACGATTTGGAATGCTTCGGAGGGTGTCTTTGGGCCATCTTGGGCCGCCATGGGGCTCTCTGAAGGCCATCTTGGATCCGTGTTGTGCCGTTTTGGGGCTCTCTTGGACTGCCTGAAGCCCTTTCGGATGGTTGCGGGGCGATTTTGGAGCCTCCCAGGCGGCTTCGGACGCCCAGAAAACCGCCGTCTTGGAGCGTCGGGAAGCCGAAAAAAAGAAAACCCCCAAATTCACCAAAAACCAACAGAAAATCAATGATTTTTGCCTCGGGGGGCCTTCTTGGGAGTGCTCTTGGAGCCCTCTTTGGGGCCGTCCTGGAGGCGTCTTGGGCCATCTTGAGGTTATGTCGGTCACTCTTGGAGCGCTCTTGTGCTGTCTTGGGGGTCTCTGGGACGTCTCCGATGACCCTCCTGATCGCCCTAGGTGTGCTGGGCATGCTTGGCAAAACGCCCTGCGAGGCCCGGGGGCCAGATCCCGGGAGTCCTTTTTTTTTTTTTTTTTGGGGGGGGGGTCCCCCCGCCTGGGCTTCAAACATATATAGGAAGAGGAATATATATATATATATATATATATACACATATGTATATATGTATATATATACATATATATATATATATATGTATAGATGTATGTATGTATGTATGTATGTATGTATGTATGCATGCATGCATGTATGTATGTTTGTTTGTACGTATGTATGTATGTATATATATATATATTGCCGCCTGTGGAGGTCCACGAAGGTCGATTCCCCAGGCGGTGGCGATGTAACAAAAAAACCCTTCCGCATCGCCGATGCATCGGTGATGCGGCGCGATCCTCCGACACCGTCTGCTCGGATCCCATTTGGGAGGCCGCAGGCGGCGGCGGTGGCGGCGGGGGAGGGCGAGGCGGCGGCGGCGGGGGAGGGTGAGGCGAGAGGCGAGGAGGACGGCCTCAGGGGTCTCTGCTTAGAGGTCCGCCTCAACATCCGCCGGCCCTTCGGCGTGTGAGAGACGCTTTTCCGTTCGAGTCGTCGTCGTCGTCGTCGTCGTCGTCGTCGGCGTCGTCGGCGTCGTCGGCGTCGTCGTCGTCGGCGTCGTCGTCGTCGTCGGCGTCGTCGGCGTCATCGTCGTCCTCGGCGTCCTCAGCGTCCTCAGCGTCGTCGTCGTCGTCGTCGTCGGGACCTGGGCAGCCCAGCGCGCGAGGCCCTCTGGGCCGCCGCCGGCGCCCACGGCCGCCTCCAGCCAGTCCAGCCGCGCCGCGGCGCTCCGCACCTCCCCGGCCAGGGCCGACAGCCTCGCCCCGAGCTCGGGGCCCTCGGCCCTCGGGGCCCCCGGCGCTTCCGACGCCGTCTGGGCGCGCCGCGGTGGCCTCCGTGTCGCAAAGATCGGCTACACGCAAGAGTGACCCTTGGTACGCGGCGCGAGGTGGCCAAATCCAGGCGCGCAAGCAGCCGCTAACGCGTCGCGCTCAGCGATCGAGGGGGCCCCGATGAGCCCGCACCATGGGTCATTCTGGCGAAAGGTCACTCTTACGTGTAGTCGAAAAATACAAGCTGCGCAAGCATAAACTCTCGGAAATTCGTGCGGAATTTCTTGGATCTGCGCTGGAGCCCCCCCGGGCGGCGCCTCCAGCGCCTCTCCTGGCGCGCGGGAGGCGCGACAGGGAGGGGGGGGGGGGGCCCAGCGCAGATCCAAGAAACCGCGTGGAGCGCCGACAGTGAATGTTCATGCTGTTTCTGTTTTCTCTTCGAGTCTGGGCGTTTTCGCACTGCGAGTTTTCGCTGGATTCGGGCCCCGGGACCATCACAGATCGATTCGACTTCAAACATGCAGCAGAAACATGTGGGTCTATGGCTCTGGTCGAACTGCTTTCCCAGACCAGCAAAAACCTCCCGCCGTGACTCTTGCACGACGCGAGGGGATCTGGGTCTTGTACGATGCTGTGCAGCTGGGCCAATGATAGAGTAACATCCTTCAAGAACATGAGACTCTCCACCAGTCCAAACTCACAGAACATGAAAGGGTACCCTCCCCAGGATTCACAAAAACATCCAACAAGCACAAAGAAAATGAGGGCACCCTCCCCGAACCGAACTCGATCTTACGCCTCGGTCCGACTGTATTTCTTGTCGCAGAATCCAATCTCAAGGCCTTGCGGTGCCGGCACCGCCCACGGCGCCGGCGGTCCCAGTGGCCGCCTCGAGGGCGCCCGCGCGACAGCCCTGGTCGGCGCTGAGCTGTTGCAGGTCCTGGGGGCGCGGCGCCAGCTCGGGGGCCGAAGTGGCCCAGCGCTGGTGCCGGCCCGCAGAAGCCCAGAGCCCCCTCGGGATGTAGGGACACGAATCGTGGCGGAAAGCGCTTCGCTGTCTTCGGCCTCTCGGGGCCCTGTCCCCTGACCTGGCCCCCTCGGGACCGTGAAAGACCATTCTCGGAGAGCGACGCTGGGCAAGAGTGACCTATGGTACGCGGCTTTTTGGGGCCGCGGAGGGACCAAACGCAAGCGCGCAAGACGCCACTGCCACATCGCGTTCGGCGATCGGGGGACCCCAGTGGGCCCGCACCGAAGGTCACTCCGGCGGAAGGTCACTCGTATGTGTAGTCGATCATGGCGGAAGGCATTTCGCTATCTTCGGCAATTCCCGGGACCCTGATCCTGACCTGGCCTCGGGACCGTCAAAGACGACTCAGGTTGCGAAGCCAGTCCCGGGGAATGGGTCGAGACCTCTGGGGGTCGACGTTATGAAAGAATTACGACGTCGGGGGTCTGGGAACGGGGGAGACATGTAAGATTAAGCCAGGACGAGGATAAATTCGGGTGTAGATAAATCGGGAATCTCTGAGATCTGGCGGCTCTGGAGACTGCATCGGGCGCCGCGGCTGAGAGTGTTCCGGAACGCTCTGGAACGGATTTATCCTCGTTCTAGCCCCGTCCGACCCTCGTCACCACGGCTGGACGTCCATTTCGACCCTTGGAGGTGTTCGAAGATCGATTTTGAACGCATGTGCCTTCGCCCCCAGACATGCGCCGTCTTGATTTTTTCAATGCCGTGGTCCCTAAGAGTTCCGACCCGTTCCCCAGGGCCCGCTTTTCACCCTGGCTCGTTCTTGGACGGCCCCGGGCCCAGCGAGGGCCCCCAGAGGCCGAAAATGGCCAAACTCCTCCCGTCGCGCTTGTCCATGACGCGAGCAGGCTCGGGGGTAGAACAAACCCACTTCTGCAACACGCCCTCAAAGTGAAATCTGTCAGGGGCACTCCACCTGCGCACGGCATTGCACTCCGGGTGCGCTCCACCGGGGGTAGCTCATCGACGTCCAAAACAGCCCAATGTATCCCGCGCGCCGCACGTCGACTAGCGAAACCGACTGGGGACTGTCCCGCCACACTCGAGCACCATGGTCGTGTGAACCCGTCCCGCTTTCCTCCGGCGGCTTGTCGGGGGGGGGGGGGCGCCCTGCCACTGCCCGACGTGGCTTTTTTTGGGAGGGAGGAGCGAGGAGCAAGAGGCCGCAACAATCCGACAACTCGCCCTGCGTCAGAGTGAAGCGCGGGACATTCAGATCAGATGGTGTACTTCGATGGTTCCACGAGCGCACGCTCTGGCTCAACCTGGGTCTGCCTCAAGCCTCTCCGCCCGCCCGCCCGCCAGCTAAGCTTAGGTCGGGCATGCCCGTAGGGGGATTTTGGACAACAAAAACAAACAGACCCCCAACATATTCACAAATAGGCCAAAAATAATAGAAAAATCGTCCCAAGACTATTTTTTTGACTATTCTTGAATATTCCTCCTGAAGAGGGACACGCCCGACTTAACGCTACGCGCAGGGTTGGTGCTGGGCAGTTGCGGCGGGATGGTGCCAGCACGGCCGCTGCTTTCCGAGGCGGCGTTGCGACGCTGCCGCCGAACCGCCAGCGCGCGGCTGAGGCAGCTGCAAGGGCTGCGGCGACCGACGCCCTCGACCTCGAAGATCTCTATCATCAGGACTGGCGTCTGAGCATGCGGACCGCCAAGCTGAACGACGACGAGACGCTGCATTTCAACGGCCAGGACTTTCGCCAGGAGGGCTTCACGCAGGAGGGCTCAGAGCCTGCAGCCAGCGACGAGTCGGCTGGCATCGTGAACGTGGTCCCGAGGGCCCTCACCGCGGTGCTGCCTCGGCGCGAGGCGTTGGCACAGGCACTGGCCACGAAGGCTTCGCTGAGCATCAGCTTCGCGGTGAGCCAGCCGCTTACCCGCGAGGACCAGCAGCGCTCCGGCGAGGAGCAGCAGCACGCCTCCTGCGGCCAGGATCGCGCCGTCGGGGACCAGCAGCACGCCGTCGACGGCCAGCAGCTCGCAGGCGGCAACCAGGGGAGCGCCTACGGCGACCCGCAGCGCGCCTGTGACGATCAGCCGCGCGGCGGCGAAGAGCAGCTGCGCGCCTCCTGCGGCCAGGAGCCCTGCGGCGACCTGCAACACGCCAACAGGGACCAGCAACACGCTGGCGACGGCCAGCGGCACGCCGGCGATGACGAGGAGAGTGCCTGCGGCGACCCGCACCAGCTCGGCGGCCGGGACCAGCAGCGCGCCAGCGACGACCAGCAGCACGCCAGCGACGACCAGCGGCACATTTGCGACGACCAGGAGCGCGCCTGCGAGCGTGGGTTGCTGGCCGGCCTGGTGACGGTGCCGGAGATGGCCACAGAGCCGCCAGAGACAGTTTCGGCCCCGGCGGCGGCCCAGGAGGCGGCGAACGCCGATGGGCGGAGGGGCGCGCCCTCGCTTCCGAGCTTGGGCGCGAGTGGTGCCGCCGTCGAGGATGCCACTGTCCAGGGGCCGCTGGGCGCTGCCTCGGGGCCGCGCGCAGCCCCGCAGCCTCTGGATCGGCCCGCGGCCCGCAGCCTCTGGATCGGCACGCGGCGGGCGCGTCCATCGAGGAGATCGCGAAGCGGCTCCGAGCGGCGGAACGAGGCGGAGGGCGCGGCGAAGCGGCGTCGGGTTCTGCTGCGCTGCGGGGTGGCCTACCGGATGGCCGCGTCTGCCATGGGGGACCGCGGGCTGGTTTAGAGGCGGAGTACCTCTAGCTCAGAGGCGCACTTTTGCATGGCGTGCCCTCCTCTCCTTCACCCCCCCCTCCTCCTCCTCCTCCTCCTCCTCCTCCTCCTCTTCCTCCTCCTCTTCCTCCTCCTCCTCCTCTTCCTCCTCCTCCTCCTCCTCCTCCTCCTCCCTCCTCTCTCCCCCCTCCTTCATCCTATAGTTTTCTTTTGCAGGTGGGTCCGAGGCTTTGCTTAGGATCATTTGTCGGTCCCCTAGCGGGGACGGGACTGCCCTCCCCCTCGTTCCTCTGCCTCCTCCTGGAGGTGGCGTCCCGCCCCTGCGGGGTCTGGCCCAAGAAAGTGCGCAACGCCGTGAGCGGCGCCCCGTGCCTCTTGGCCACTTGCCCTTGGAGTGGGCTGAGCGCCTGAAGCGGGTGGCTGCCCGCCGCGCGCTGCAACCTCCCCTATTTTTTCTCTTCCTCCTCCTCCTCTCCCTCTCTTCCCTTCCCCTCCCTTCTCCGCCCCTCCCCCTTTTAACATGATTTCTAAATTGTGCTCTGCCTTAGTGCGCTGTGAGTGCACTCAGTTAGCCTCGCCCTCTGTTCTTTAGGATTCGTGGTCGTTCATGGTCCCAGTCTGGGGTTCTTCTGCGTCAATTGCGCACCACCGTTTTCCTGGCGTTCACCGTTACTTAGTTTGCCTCTTCTTGTTCGGCTTAATTTGTGTTTTTTTGTTTGGTCTGGTTATATCCCGTCCCCACGGTCGGCACTTTGCATGACACGGGGGGCTTTGCACTCCGCCCGTGGTCAATGCCCGATATGTCTGGTTCCCCCCCCTCTTCACCGACCAGCGCAGACCTCCCCCCCCCCAGCTGCTCCCCTTGCCATCGCTCGGACGTCCACTCTCCGTGCACAAACGACACCACCCCACCTGCGGCCCCACGGGGCTTAGCGTATACCAGGATCTCTGGCGTGGGTTTTTTGCGTGGTATGCGCTACGGCCCCCGATGGGCCGTGGCGCCATATGGAGGGCCGTGGGTGGGATGGTGTCGTTTGTTTTTTGTCGTGGCCGATTTTTCCGCAAGACGATCCAGGATGCTCCTCCACGGTCCACGCCGAGGAACAAGATTGAAAGGGCCTTGGGACACACAAACAAATACACACAAGTAACCATCTTCCAAACTTTCTTGGTTTTTGTCTTCCCCCCCACTGCCCATGTTTTCCTATATTTTCCGGGGGGTCGACGATTAATTGTGTCTGTGTGTGTGTTGTTTCCCTCCTGTAAGATGCACATGCCCGAGCGATGCCAAGCGCTCCGATCCTCGACGAGCCCGCCGAGCACGGACAGCTGCTGGCAGGCCACGGCCCTCTCGGCCGCGGTGCTGCACTTCGGCGAGTCGTCCCCGATCGGCCCGGGCCGCGGCCTCGAGGGCGCGCCCTGTCGGGGGCGTCGGAGACCCAGGCAGCTGGCGCCTCGAAAAACTCGCCCTCGCTCGGACGTCCGTTCCCCGCGCGTTTTTTCGGCCTCGTGCGCGTTTTTTTGTTGTTTTTTTGTTTTTTTTCTTCCGCGCTTGTTCAAAGGATCCGAGATGCTGCTCGATGGCCCTCGCCGAGCGAAAATGCACACGTCCGCGAGCGATGCCACGGACAAAATCGAGGCGGTATTCTTTTTCCACGATGTCCGGCCTCTCAGGGCCCTTGTCAGGTCTCGGGGGCGTCAACAAAACGAGTCGGGAAGACGAACCGGCCTCGGGGAAAGGCTCGGGGAAAGGGAGTCGGGGGCCCGCGTCTCGACAAACATCGAGGCGCTGGATGTCCAGGAAGAGGGGGGCGTCCGAGAGGGGGGCTCGCGAAGCGTGGCCCGAGGCCGTTGCGCGGACGGGGGGACCAGGTGACATAGGGAAGTGGAGTCGGACATAACCCAGAATAACATTCTTCAAGAACTGGAGGCCCGGCCAAAACAAACATAACATCCAAGGGTTCCCTCCCCAGGATGCACAAGAACATCCAACAATCACGAAGAACACTACGGTACCCTCCCCGAACCAACCTCGATCTTATACCTCGTTCCGACTGTAAGAGGATAGATGAACAAACAACTGCGTAAACGTACGCTTTCGGAGGTCCGCGCGGAGCTCTGAAACTTTATGTAGATGCCCTTTTTCTACTTTGAGAAAGAGAGGGGGCCATGAGATCCGGGGGATGTCATGGCCCCGATGGTATCCCCCTCCCCCTAGCTTTAGGTCGGGCCTGTCCCCGTACAGGGGGATTTTGGACGACAAATAAAACATACGCAACGAATGCTCAAAAAAAAGCCCCAAGATACACCAAAAATAGTCCCCAGACTATTTTTCGACTATTCTTGAATACTCCCCCTGTAGAGGGACAGGCCCAATTTAACCCTATCGCCCCCCTCTTGGCCTCGCAATCCTGGCCGAAGCTTCAAGCCACCATGGCCCCGGACAGCGCCCAGCCACATCCCCCATCCCACCACCCTGGCTTTCGTTCCTGCCCCCTCCCTGTTGAAACATCGTAACGAGTTACTGTTGCTATTTCAACGTCTTGACTGTACCCTGAGATCCGACGTTGCGAAACCAATTCAACATCGCGAACAATCATAACCGTATCCCTAGACCCAATCTTTCTGTGGTATTTTCCCGGCAGGAGCGATCTGTGATGGTCCCAGGGCCCGAAGCCAGGCGATAACGGCCGACGTGAACAAAATTGCAACGCCCGGATCTCAGGGCAAGTTCGTGTCGTGTCGACGCGGCGGCTACCCCAGAGCGGGCGTTCAAGGTTGGGCGCCGCCGGTGACCCAGAATCGGCCAATATGGAAAGATCTGGCGATCGAAAAGCCACCGATCCTTCAAAATTGAACAATCCACGCGGTGTCAGAAATCAGCGTCAACGCCGGGGTCGTGGCGACGCGAAACTGCCGCAAACACAAACTTTCGAGGGTCTGCGCGGACCTCCCATAGTTTGTGTCTCTGCAACTTGCCCTCCTTCTGAACATCGTTGAACCGATTCCTGTCCCCACTGGCGTGGCCAGGACCCCACTGGCCGATTTGCCCCCCTAGATGGGGATACAGGCTGTTACCCTCGAGCTTCGAGGGGCATAGTCCCAACTGGGATGGCGGGGATCGGGATGGGGATGGAGATGGGCCCAGACCCCCGAAGTCTTGATTCTTCCATAACGTAGACCCCCAAAGATCTCGCCCTATTCCCCAGGACTGGTTTTTCATCCCGAATCGTTTTTTGACAGTCCCGAGGCCCGGTAAGGGCCCTCAGAGGCAGAAAATAGCGAGCAACCTTCCGTCGTGCCTTTTTTCACGACGCGAGGGAGGTCTGGGGGGGATAGGGATCGGTGAACCGATGCTGCTTCTTCGGCTCCTGCTCTCGGGGCTCCTCCACGTTGCGCGCGGCCTCCCCGCTGACGCGCAGCGCGGCGCTGCAGCAGCGATCCACCCGCCGGCCCCTCTGGGGGCCACCGGGCGGGTGGAGCTGTGCTGCCCTCGCTGCGCCAGGCCGCCCTCCAGGCCCAAGGCCCCCTCGCGTCGCGACAGAAGTCACAACGGAAGTTCCGTTGTGATGCTTTTTTTCACGATGCGAGCGGGTCTGTTCGGTAGAACTCCGGAGGTCTGGTCGGTAGAAGTCCAGAAGTTTGGGCGGTAGGAATGCGGAGGTCTGTTCGGTGGAAGTCCAGAGGCTTCTTCTGGGGTTCGCGGGTTTTCCTCGATTTTCAGTCTCCGGGGGCCCTTGCTGGGCCTCGGGGCTGGCGACGGCGCGACGCAGGGTGAAAAGCTGGTCCCCAGGAAAGGGTCCAGACCTCAGGGGGTCCACGTTGTCGGGGGTCTGTCGGGGTGGGGGGAGGGGGGCTGGGGCTCCCAAGGCTGGGGTGGATGAGGGGGAGGAGGACGGGGGGGAGGAGAAGGAGGAGCGATTTTTTTTTTTTGGCCGCACCGTGCCTTCAGCCCGCAAGTTGTCACGCGCGGCCCCGCCGCGGCGCCCCGCGCGCCCAGCCGGCGGGCGAGTCCGACCGCGCGACGCGGGGAAAAGGCCCCGCCCCACGGGCAGGCGGGAAGCCCCAACCGAACGGAGCCACCCCCACGAAGGGGGAGGCCGAACGGCAGGGCCACCCGCGCGCCCAAAGGGCCGGGCAAAAAAAGGACCCGGACCCCAGGACCCACGAAACGACGACGACGACGACGACGACGACAACGACACGACGGGAAGACGGACCGCCAGTCCCGCCCCAAGGCGGCGAGTGCGGGGAGTGAACTCCCGCACCGCCCTGGGGGAGGCCACGGGACCTGGCAGCCCCCCGGGAAGGAGCGCCCGGGCGCGGGGGCTTGGACCCCGAAGGCCCAGTGCTCCCCGCCTGCACCAGGGGGCACTTTGGCCCGACACCCCACTTATGGGGGTGCCCCTCTGGGGCAGGAGAAGGAGGAGCGAGGAGGACAGGGAGGAGGGGAAGGAGGAGGAGCAGCCCTCGAAAGTGGCGGCAGATTCGCAGCTCTCAGGCCGGCCGGGGCTCCCAAGGCTGGGGTGGGCCAGGGAGGCCCAGCCTGGCCCACTCTGGCTGGCGGCGCCACTCGGGCTGGTGAGTGCTGGCTGGCGGCGCCACTGCTTGTCTCGACGGTTCTGGCGGAGTGCCTCCTGGGGCGCTGCGCCGGCCTCCGAGACTGCCTCAAGTAAGAACAGGCAGTGAACTGTTGAGGCCATTTTCGCAGCCTGGGCTTCTCGGCTCAAGATGGCTTCCCGATGACCTCGGAGGAGCCAACGAGAGGCCAAGAGGGTGCCAAGAGGGGTCGCCCAGACGGCCCAAGATGGCCCCAAGAGGGCCAGAGGGGCCCAAGACCAGCCAAAAGGGCCCCGAACAGTCCAAAAGCTTCCAAGATGGCCCAAGATGCCCCAAAGAGGTCAATATGAGCCCAACTATCGCCCCAAGACGGTCCCCAACGGCTCCTAAGGTGCATGAAGAGCCCCCACGAAATTCCCAAGACGGGCCGAGCAAAGCACATCGGAGCCTCGACGCCGATGATGATGCTGATGATGATGATGATGCTGCTGCTGATGATTATAATGATCATGATGATGATGCTGCTGCTGTTGATGATGATGATCATGCTGATGATGATGATTCTGATGATGACGATACTGATGATGATGGTGATGATGATGCTGCTGCTGCTGATTATGCCAATCATGATGATGATGATGCTGCTTATGATGCTGAGAAGTATGATGATGGCGGCGAAGGTGATGATGATGGTGATGCTGATGATGCTGATGATGCGTGTGATGATGATACTGATGACGATGTTGATGCTGCTGTTGCTGATGATGATGGAGATGCTGATGATAAGGATGATGGTGCTGATGACGATTACGATGCAGGTGACGATGACGATGATGATGCTGATGCTGATGATAGTGATGATGCTGATTCTGATGCTGATGTTGATGATGATGCGGGTGACGACGGTGATAATGATGATGATGATGATGATGATGATGATGATGCTGATGATGATGATGATGATGGTGGTGGTGGTGGTGATGATGATGCTGGTGATGATGATGACGATGATGATGGTGATGATGATGCGGATGGTTGTAATGTTGATGCTGCTGTTAATGATGATGCCGGTGACGATTGTGGTGCTGATGGCGACGATGACGATGGTGATGATGATGACGATGCTGATGGTCGTGGTGGCGATGCTGATGCTGATGCTGCTGCTGATGATGATGACGACGACGATGATGATGCTGATAATGATGGTGGCGATTGTGATAGTACTGATGACGATGGCGATGACGACGACAACGATGCCGATGCCGATACTGACGATGTGACGATGCCGATGATATTAATGATGATTAATATGGTGATGGTGATTCTGATGGTGATGATGACGATGATGAGGAGGACGATGACGATGACGATGACGAGGAGGACGATGCTGATGATGATGGTGATGATGACGATGACGACGAAGATGATGATGATGCTGATGATGATGGTGATGATGATGCTGCTGCTGCTGATGATGATGATGTTGATGATGATGATGATGATGATGATGATGATGATGATGATGATGATGATGACGATGATACTGGTGATGCTGATTAGGATGATGATGCTGATGATCATGATGATGGCGATGGTGGTGGTGATGGTGGAGATGCTGATCAAATGTCTTGATGCGGAACACGCATACTGATACAGACGGAGGAAGACGGCAATCATGAGGATATATATATATATATATATATATATATATATATTCGGAGGAGGAGGAGGAGGGGGAGGAGGAGGAGGAGGAGGAGGAGGAGGAGGAGGTTTTCGACTGGAGGAGCGCGAGCTCGCGGGGGAGGGAAACAAGAGGCTCCGACCACCTGAGTTGGCGGGCCTAAACACCGAGGGGTCAG